TGCATGTAATTTTTTGGCGTGGAATACCACACCCACCCACCAAGAATCCGCTTGCTTTATGTGGAAAAGCGAAGAGCTCTCGGTAAAAAACACATAGTTGTACCCCCATGGATTATTTACATATTAATAAATGTTAGTCCAAAAGTTTCATATGGTTAAAAATTAATTAAAAGTTCAAAGTTAATTCCCGATTCTGCTATGAATTTTCAGGTCGCTTCATAAATTTTTTATGACATATTCCGAGGGAGGGAGGGTACATTTTGGAGGGTATATTGAAGTTTGGCATCTTCCATTAAACTTCTTACAGGGAGTCTTTTCTCTTCCAATTTATTGCACGCAATGAGGACATGATTAACGGTCAAAATGTGGCCTCATTCGCACTTCACTGGTTTATATTAAATCTTTAGTTCTTAGTCTTGTGATTACCCCCACAAATTTTGCGCAATGAGTGATTGACCTCCGTCTTTACAACCAGATCGTTATTTATTTTGAATTTAAACTTATTTGCTCTGGCTAACTCAGTTTTGTATTCTGATTTAATTTAAGTTTTAACGATGCTTTTAAATTTCTGAACGTTATATTTTAAGTCTTAAGCTCTTTGCGAGCCAGATTGTCTGCAGACTCATTGCCTACTATGCCAACATGGCATGGTATCCATGTAAATTCTACGGTTTTAATTTTGTTTCGGAGCGAATAAACACTTGCTCGAATATTATCAACAACTTCTGGTCTAGGTGTTGTTTTGTCATGTATTATTGATTTTATGCTGCTAAGGGATTTTAACACAATGACTGCTCTTTGAACGGTGGATAACACAAGCCACTCAAGAGCTGTGGATATCGCCTTTAATTCTGCTGTATAGATGGAACATCCATCTGGTAGCCTTTTTGATATATTAACATTAAGTTCGGGAATGACTACAGCTAATGCAGTTTGGATCGTGACATCCATCAGTATATATTTTTACATGAGATGACCATTTTTCGTTCAAGAATTCCCTCGATAGCATTTGAGTGTGTTGTGGATTTTCGTTCTTCTTAACAACATCACTTGGGCTTATGTGATAGTCTCGATTTAATAAAATCATCTTACATACATTTGTCTATTTATATAAATTAGTAACTAAGAAAATGTTGACATAAACATATAATTATTAAAGGATTATGTCTTAAGGCATTTAAAACAATAGTTAAAGAAACTTAACAGATCAACCACTTTAGTTGCCAGTCTGTCATCATTTGACGGACAGATTAATTGCCGTCTGCCTCTAATGTCTAAGCGAGCATTAATGAACATATTTAAAACAGAATTAAAAAATAATTAAATAATGTATATTGGTCATATAAAATTGCTCTCAGTGGATTAATTAACTCGCTATTCTTGTTCAGCTTGTAGATGTAATGTGGTAATGTTATGTCTGTGGTATTTAAACAAATTCCCAGCCTTCATGTAAATGCGATATTAATTGTATGCAAGGGAATGGTATCGTGTTGAATATAGTCGACCGAGACGGAGATTTAAAGATTATCTCTTGTGTTACGGGTTACATGTTAGACAAACAATACAGTGGTGGCGGCGGGAAATGTAACAACACTTGTCATCAAGACATTCATTGATATGCGTTTTATTGCCAGGATATATACCAAATAACTGTACTACTCGTTGTCAGGTGGGTTATAATTAGTGGTGGGGCGCCAGTGTGTTTCATTTTTTTCACATTTTAGTCACAATACTGAATAATTTACATGTGCGTGTTTCGAAATTATGTTTTTATTCCATTACTCTTTTCTTTACCCTCGCTCTCTGTTTGCATCGACACTCAGCCTGCCCACCATATAAGCGGTCAAGTATAAATAAAGCTAGTATTGTCAGTTTGGCATTCCCCAGAGATTCACGGAAATTTACACTGAGAAGTGTTATCCTGCATATATGTGTGATGTTACACTGTCTTTGGTGTAATACTCATCTTAGTGTAATGTAATATATATTCACTCTACTTAAGGTGGCAAATTAGCAACCACCCGCGCAAGAGTAAACTGATTGTGATTGCTAGCAAAACATTTCCTTTAATGTTAAACATCTCCCCTACAACCGCATTGCAAAAAACATATCTATTAAATTATTTAATATATATATATATATATATTAAAACATGTCAAGCCATTCTCAATCAGTCTCTCAAATGATTAGTAATGGATATAAACGCGTCGATGTATTTGTAAATAATACAAGCCCAAATGCAATCATGTGAATAATGTTTATAATGCTTGCATTGTACCGGTTTACACTACTAAATATATAACCTTTTCTTCCGCGGAACCGTTCAAGGAACGCTTAAACACGAAAGAAAATTTGCATATAAACCCGTATTTAAATATTAAAGAACGTTGGGTCTGACCAAGATCATCTAAGGAGCGTCGACCGATGTTGACTTGGATAACTTATCCACCTGGCCCATTCTGATTTAACCTGTGTACAACCGTTAAACTGAAAATACGATGAAAATAAAATCTTCAAGTGCAAATAATGCACATACACAACTTAGTTCCATAATGAGATTTGTTTTTTCATTTATGTTTGGCATCTGGGTACGATATACAGAAAATCTACTAGTTTTTTTATATGAAAAACGACGAGTAGAAGATTGTATTTATCACCCAATCCTTTTTACACACACAAATATATAAATATAATTCCTTGGTATAGAATATTACACAAGCGATATCAAGTGTAATAATATGAAAATATAAATAGAGGTCCAATATATTTTAGTTATCAGTATAATATATTCTTTTATGCATGACAATTTAAGTAGAGATCCAATATTGTAGTTATTAGTAATTTTTATTCAAATCTAATATTAAAAAAATACAATATAATATATTCACGTCTTTTATGACAATTTAAACAGAGATCCAATATTGTAGTTATTAATATTTGTTCAAATCTAATATTGTAGTTATTAATATTTGTTCAAATCTAATATGGAAAAAAAGATGAAATAAAAGTTCACATACATAAATATAGGTGGTGTAAATAAACATAACTCGCTCGTGAGAGATAATTTGATGTCGGAAATGCCTTTAAAATCTAAATTATAAATTGTAGTAAAACAAGTATTAATTAGAACAAAATATTTAATGTAGGATATGTTATAAGGGTGATAAATACCCGTCTTTAAGTGTAAATCACGTTAACAAGAAGAGGGAGACCGGGGGCATTTCACCAAATCTGGGACTTTCCTTATGTTTTAGTACACAAACGCAACATACGCTGTAATATTAACACTGCTTTGGGCAATTTGTCCCCATCATCAATTACACTGTTTGGTGGCGTGGTTTCGAATCCCCGCTTGTACGTGACAAGGAGTAGGATTGCCCGTCTAACCTCCTGGTTTTTGAAAGGGTCATTCGGTTTCCCCTCACTGCTAAAGACCGCTATAGTCCTGGATCTGACTATGGTTCTGTAGGAAAGTTTGATTAGGGAGAATTTTTTTGAAGAAATGTTTAGTAGGTGGCTTTTTCAGAATTTTGGACTTGGGTTGCCGCCGGCGTTATTTCAATTTTACCCTACCTGCTATAGTTTTCTTCAAAAAAATGTCTCCCTATACTCCCTATACTCAAACCCATAGTTAGATTCTGGATTACTACGCACAAGCGAATTATTGAAATAAAATTGAACCACATGTCAGTCCCGAAATGACCTAGTTTGTGTCGAGTGGACGTTAATCCCCATTTCGGTCAATCAATATCTAACTGTAGGCCTTGCAAACATTCGTTGTAGGTGTAATATGCTTTAAAATAATATATCGAAACCAATTTCTATGAAGTGAAATATGTTATTGTTTTACAATGGACAATTAGTGATTCATATCATGTCTCAACACAATTAGAAATAATGGTTATGGTCTAAATTTCTCATTTCCTTGCACTGAAATGATACGAACTGATATAACAAAAACTTTATGAAGTAAAACCTGATATGGCGATTTATAGATTTTCCAACGATAATATACAAAGTTCTACACGCTTTGTCGGCTTTATTGTAATTTGTTATATTAGTTGTAGTATTAACACTATCATTAATAACAACTAAATAATAGTATTAATATTGAGAAAAAAATCATTTGCTGATAATGAATCATTTTGTGCAATCGAATACAACTGTTATCTCTCTAGTATCCCTCTAGAGACCACAAAGGACAAAACCTGAATTATATGCCTTGACAATCTGTTATCGCCGCATGAAGTTGCATTACGGAATCTCTTGTAAAATTGTATGAGCCAGAAACCCAGTTCTTTGTTTCGACATTTTATTAATATGTATGTTTTGTTTTGGAGGTTACAGGGGAACAATTAAAATAATTTAAGATATTGGTGATTTTTTTTTATTTATCCCGTGTAATTAATTATAATTTCAAAACTGCTTCATGGGTTTCTAGACCCAATGTCTAGAGAAGAGCCAGAGCGATTCGATAAAGCAAACTAGGGACTAGAGGAGAATAACTGGTTCTCTGGTTCCATCATTCATTTCATGAGGGTAGGACGTCAATTAGAGATATAAGACAGCTACACTCTGAACAGCTTATAAGAACATGAGTGAAAACTGTTCGTTACCCGTTATTTATTATGACGCCTAGTTATAACCCCACTGTCCGGTTAGAGATTGCGACCAATATAATAAAGTTCACGCAACGCCAGAAATGTAGAATCACTCTGTTTCAATAAAGTTAAATGCTGGCGTTACAACCATTACTGTCAAGCGCCAACTCAATCCTTACGATTTACTACTACCCGAAACATACCAGAGCTATTTTCTCTTGTTACTATCCATTGGTACCCAATAAAGAACAACTTTATTGTTCTTTAAGGCGGAGACAAGCAACATACAACAGAGCATCATTAATATGACATGGGGCTAAACCGTGTCAGTATCTTTGAGGATAATTACCAATCCAGAAATGCTTCACTACTAACGTTTCGTTCGTTTATATTTTTCAGATTGGGAAGAGCAGTATCAATCCAATGTTAATGTAAGTATAAGTTATGCCTAGTGTAGAGCGGCAACCCAACAAGTGTCACAAATTGTTACTTTCGGAGAAAAACGTGACTGACCACCGATTGGTTTTATTTGAGCAATTATCTTCAAAAAAAATTCTTTTATTAATATCAAAGTAATCTTATTCCGTAATACCAGCGATTTGTGCGAATTTTAATTGGCATGTAAATATCAATAAATGCAAAAATTGCAATAAAATTACAAAATCCATTCCATTTATATAATATGTCAGTCTGCAAAAACTAAGCCGCGTGTAAGGTATTTAAATAGCTGACTGTGCACTTACATAACTGTGTGTCGTTTTGGCATAAGCATTCAGCCAATAAAAAAGATACATATATAAATATAACCCTCCATAATCGATATACATTTGGCTTGACAACCGCTTAAATGTCATTTCAACAACTAATATCAAGCATATCATACCACAGACCGGGTTCATATATACTATTTGTTTCATATGTGTCATGCGTGCTGCTTTTGGGAATACTGTACATATGAACACAGCTCACCAAATATTCCTACGCTGTCACCCCTTGGACCTGGGGTGCACCACTGTACATAAACCAACATATATACTGAAAGGGCCATGATATTTGAACTTATTCTTTGATTTTGATTTTCTTTCACCGGCATGGTGCCAGAACATATGGGAAGCAAATAAAAAAGGGCCCTTTGGTGATACCTGAAGTTTCACCCCTATGTAGGACACAGCTCACTAAATATTCCTATGCCGTAACAAGGTCCAAAGCTATTTTTAGTCCCTCTCTCCCTTTTCCTTTTCGCCATTTTGGAATCGCGACTTTTGTTGACTTTTGGTGTAGTATCGAAGGGGTTGAAAATATATTTTCGGCCAGATTTTGGTGAATATTCATGATTTTGAAACGGAAGGATACGAGAGTTGAGAGGATGGTTATGTTGAAATGTAGGACCGAAAATTGCATATTTACTGGCCTTTACTTCCAGTTTGTGTATCTCAAGTTTTCTATGATGAACGCCATACGTGTTTTTAAGCAAGCGGTTGCCACATGTTTTTACATCTGTGGTAGGAAGCGTTCTTCTCGACGAAAATTTGGGAAAAAGTTGAACGAAAATTAACATTAAAGTCAATGGGGAAATCGTTAGTGATCTGTGGTCATATGATCCCAACGGCCATGCACCTATTGGCAGTTTAACGTCTTCGACATTCTAAATTCGATAAGCCTATGTCCTGGTCATATCAGACGTACCATTAAAATTGAACATTGTAAAGCGTTTACATTAACTCACTGTTCTATCCCATTCCAGTATATTACTTTACTGTTATTTAAATGCATTGTCCATACCAAAAACAATAGGTTATGGCAACACTCCGCGACAAGTAGTGGTCCATTAATGCTATTATAATATGTTGCAATCATATGCGTCCATTCATAAAATAGGAATATCCATTAAACGTGTAGGATTATCCTTAATTCACACACAAAACAGTTAAAAATACAAAACATAAAAGTTATTATTAGATTTATGGGTATTTAAACCCCTGTCAATCCCATTTTGTAAAAGCATTTTCTGTAGCTTGTATATTGTGGAGCTGTAATCACCAATAAATCATTTTAGTGTAGTTTACTGATTTATGTGGATACTGTAATTTGTGCTCTCATCTCTTTTCATAATTGATCATTTTTGTTACATTATACCAGTCACTGGCAAAGTTCAGTCGAAGCGAACGTGACGTAATGTTCGATGCTCTTATTTCAAGCCACAACGTGCCAGGCTTGCGGGGGCAACATTAACCTTACTACAAAAGCACAACAAACATGAGCCAAAAGACTGTATTGTTATTCATATTTGAAAAATATTTGTAAGAGTAATTGTGTTTTGTTTTTATTTTTTTTTTTTGGTGTAGCGCTATGAGCTCGACTACATGTGGAATTAGCGCGATATAAATGGATTTATTATTATTATTACTATTATTATTCATAAAAGAAAATGATTTTTTTCATTTTCTTCAAAGATTTGATTTTTGTGCCAGTATAAAATGGAATACTGTGGTTTAGATGTGTAGCAAGGGTCGTCAAAGAGTAGGTACACATTTTGAGAAAACTAGTAACACTTGGGTCGCCCATTAATAATTAATCGGGCATGTACGCGTTTGTTCGAGATTTTTATTTTTTTAATACAAACCCACATCTCATAGTTATCGTTTATTGTAATAGCCTCACTCTACGGAAAAAAGTATTGGAGATATTTGTGTAACTGTATAGCCAATAAGTTGAATAACTTACAATGACATTCGATACTTTAATCCATGATTCCCCCCAAAAATATGAAAAACTTGTTACTATAAAAATATAACAAATAGATCTTTCACATTGTACAATGTAGCATGGCACCGTCTTCATTAGCCGGGTTGGTGCAGAAAAGTAGGATGTTAACCCCAAGTTTATTTCATTAGTTGATAAATATATTGAAAAATTGGTCATGAAATGGATGTTATTTTAAAAGAAAATAATTCTCCAATACTGGCTTCATTAGAAAACATGTATCATGGACTTTTAATTCATCATCGAATAATACAAACTGTTTGAAATTCTAGAAGGAATTTAAACATCACTCATTTATATTTCTGTAATACCTAAATTGGTGACCAGGCAATATGATGTAAAGAAAACACAAAATGTTAAAACTGTTTCCAATAACATTAATCAATTGTAATCGCGTAGCTTAAAAAGATGAACTACATATATCATAACCAAAAAGAAGATAAAATTGATTTGAATACTTCATTCTCTATTATTTTGATTTATTTGGCTTTTTTATTGATTTATTTAATTACTTTTGTGTGTAAATACCTGGTATTTAGGATTATGTTCATGCAACAGCGTTTACAGAACATTGCTTATAGTTAAAGTGATAGTAAAATAAAAATACGGCTCTTATTTTTTCCGTTGAATTAAACAGAAAAAGTGACCCATCGCCTGTAAAATGTCACTATGTGTAGGTTTGGGGGAATGGGCTATATTTGTTTTTCTTGCTGTACCCTGTAAATATAGAAGTTACCGATGGAAATAAAGTTAGGCTTTTGTTTTCCACGTTTCAGTGGATCCTGCCAATTTGGCCTAAACACGCCTCATTAAGCCAGAACCATAAGATTTTAAATTATCAAGAATACGGAGGGGTTTATACCCACAAGTGGTTTAATGATGGGTAAGCTGAAATACAGCTGTTGTGCACATATCAATTAATGTCACTGTTATATCATTTGACACTACTTTCGTGCCAGAAAGATTGAAATCAAAAGAGGTCTTCTTTTGAATTATCATTAAACGTGATAACAAATCAACTTTTGCAAGTCATTAGCGACATTTATATCGTGCTGAGGCGGTTATTTATTCATTTTACAATTCATATTTCGTGTCACTGTTAAGACAGTTTGGGGTTTCTAATAAATAAAATAATACAGAAGTAAAAAAAGGAAACCAGTTAAAAAGGCATGCAGAAACTTATGTAACATCCCTAATAAGTGACTCGACGAATAAGGTGGTGCAGGTGGGATGGGGGTTGGCTGTGGAATCATAGACAAGCAAAAATGTACTGAAAAGGATCCATTTGCTCTTGTCAAGCGCGGATCCAGGTGACGATGCAGCGTTCTTATTATGAAGATCTAAAATTTCTACCCCCCCCCCCTTGCTGAAAATCCTGGATCCGCCCCTGCTTATTGACATATTATAAAGAAGTACTGTAATAAATCGCCCTCTGTTGGCCTATATATTCTAGGGTGGTCTCCTCTCGTGGGCCCGCTTTTGGAACGAACATTATTGTTATTGCACTACATATTATCGTGGGTTTTAATATGTGTTATCCAGTGTGGTCTGATTAGTTTTTAGTTGATATATTATTTTTCTAAACAGATTTGTGTTTGAACCTTGATTATTGTGTTGGAATTTGAAACCCACGTATTAGGAACATGTCTATTGTATAAGATTGTAAAAGTAAGATGGATTACAGTTGAAAATCTATATCATGCATTTTAAGAGATCATTACGTTTTCGCTTTGTATGACAATGAAGTGGGTATTTAAAGGAGCTAAATCGCTAATATTTGGGGTCTACAAATTGACACAAATGGGTCGCAACGTATATAATAATGTAATATGAATGTAAATAAACTGATTTACATTCAATCGTTTCCGTTTTTACTCTAATTTTAAAGCAGTTATGTTCGGCGAAATACGCCAGAAGTCTCAATCCAATGGCAATCTCTAGTATCTGGTTATACTAGTATACACCGATGGGATTTATTGGCATGTTCTCCAGATAAGAATATGGGGTCACCGTTTGACATGACTTGTGGAACATGTTTAAACGCATTATGGAACACGATTCGTGTACCAATCGTAAAATGTTTATTTTGTCTTAAATATTAGATACTAGCAGGATACCCGGCTTCGCTCAGGGGTCATAACTCCGAAACCGGAAGTGGTAGACTAACGCCACCTGGCCTATGTTACTCCCCGGTCCGAGCTACCCCTATACCCCAAATTTCAGACTCGGGGCAGACCTTGTGTAGCCACCAACCCCGAACAGACCGGCTTTGCTCGGGGGTCATAACTCCGAAATCGGAAGTGGTAGACTAACGCCACCTAGCCTATGTTACTCCCCGGTCCGAGCTACCCCAAATTTCAGACTCGGGGCAGACCTAGTGTAGCAGTCAATTCCGAACAGACAGACTTCGCTCGGGGGTCATAACTCAGAAACCGGAAGTGGTAGACTAACGCCACCTGGCCTATGTTACTCCCCGGTCCGAGCTACCCCTATACCCCAAATTTCAGACTCGGGGCAGACCTAGTGTAGCCGCCAAACCGGAACAGACCGGCTTCGCTCGGGGGTCATAACTCCGAAACCGGAAGTGGTAGACTAACGCCACCTAGCCTATGTTACTCCCCGGTCCGAGCTACCCCTATACCCCAAATTTCAGACTCGGGGCAGACCT